TCTGGGCCCACTCTTATTTACGATGTACATAGGTGACATCACCGGGTCTTTTCTTACCTCAAGATGTCTTATGTATGCTGACGACATTAAAATATTTTCTTCTATTGCTGCTGTTTCAGACTGTGTTAACCTTCAGAATGACCTGAACAGATTTTATGATTTTTGTGAGATTAATAATTTGTCACTTAACATATCCAAGTGTCGGACTGTTACTTTTACGAGAAAAAAGCAGTTCTTTAAATTTGATTACCGGTGCGGAACATGCTTACTGGATCGTGTTGACACTATTAAAGACCTGGGCATTACTTTAGATAGCAAACTATTGTTTGATCAACACGTTGATGCAGTGGTGGCCAGAGCTAATAGGATGCTGGGATTTGTAATGCGCTCTTCTGAATCGTTTTGCTGCCCTAGACGTATTATTTCTTTATACAATGCTTTCGTTAATAGTATTTTATCGATCGGCTTGGAATCTTCAGTACGACGTATACATTAACAGAATAGAGGATTCAGATAAGGTTTCTGAAGTATCTCTCGTATAAATTCCGACATCCTTATACAGATTACGAATCTGCCTGTCAAATGTATCATATGCCCACACTTCAGCAGCGCAGAACTTGCAGTGATGCCTGCTTTCAGTTCAGGTTGGTCAGAGGTTCTTCTTTCACGCATTGATCTGCATCCTCCCCCTCGTCGGCTGCGCTATGACTTTCTGTTCTATGCGCCGAGTGCCTGTACAAATTCGTATAGAAATTCCCCAATAGTTCGCATGGAGAGGACAGTGGACCGTCTTGGGTTGGACATATTCACCGTCACGCCGCACAACTTCAAACAAATTATTCGTAATGCCGTGCTCGCCCTACCAGTTGTGTGATTTTGAGTACATTATCTCGTTGCAGCGGCTTGAGTTCTGTGTTGAATTGATTTGATCACATATGCTTAAGGCCATTAATTAATTAATTGATCGATTTTCAATTTTGTGTTCATACAATTTATTGTATATAAAAAGTATTACAGTGGAGTAGCTTTTATGTGGGACTATGTCCTGTTGCTACCCCCGTGTGTGTAAATAAATAAATATTTAAGGAAGTATTATCCAGGGCATAACCATCTTCTCCACACTCACATTCTAAGTTTGTTCACATACCAAAAAATGTAAATAATCAAAATGGTATTCATGAAGAAAGTGTTAATAGATGCGAGATTCTAAATAAAAGACTAAGAAAATTACCGGTTAGATTTAATGATTATACAGAGTGATTCACATAAGAACCGACACAGAGCAGGGACATGTAGAGGACAATAAATTAAGATGATTTAACGCAACTTATCTCTATACCAAGTTGTACCCCTGAGGAGTTATAGACCTTCAAAGTTGGGTCTTAAATTTTTAAAACATTGAATATCTTCGTAATACATAAAGCTAGAAAAACCAAATTTGGTATACGTTATGAATAGGGTATAAAGTTATTTGACGACAAGGTTTTCTCCATCACTTTTCATTCTTCAGTTATGATCGATTTTAACACCAAAAGTACTCAATTTTGACATTTTGGTGATTTTTTCTTTATCACTAGAAAATCATTATACCTAAACTAAATTTGTTTATGGATGATGTTTTTTTAGTTCATAATAAACAATTTATTTCAAATAAACTTTTCTCCATCACCTTTCATTTTTGAGTTATGATCTATTTTAATACCAAAAGTACTCAATTTTGACATTTTGGTGATTTTTTCTTTATCACTAGAAAA